GGGAAGCTGAGCTGGGCACATCAAACAGAAGAAAACTGATCTTTTCCCAATCACAGAAGCAGATTCACATCCAAGAGAGATTTTTCTAAATCATGGGTTAGTTTTTCTGCCTTCATGTTAAAGATCTTTAATGTACGCTATCCCTTGTCTGCAGAGGTTCAAGCAGATGACAACACAGATAAAACAGGTGACTCTGAACCAACAGTTCAGGGAGCTGACCACGCTCGGTGGGTCCTTCTTGTGGGTGAATCTGTGTCTTCACGCTTACGCTTGGATTTACATACATCCAAGCATGGCATGTTTCATGCCTGTGAAATAGTCTGGTGTTTATGAGATGGAACTAAATATACCACCTGTTTCATGGTATTACTCAAAAACAGTTTGGTTTTCTGGAAAGATGCTTCCTGACGCTGGGTGGAGTGTGAAGCCCAATGGGAAGACAGTGTTTAAAATGGTGGCACAAATTCTGTGGCTCTCCTTAACTTCAGACCATTTCCTAGCAAACCTGGGGCCCCTGCAAATTGGAGAAAATGAACCACTTCCTCAGAAGACTATTGTAAGATTTTTTAAACCTACCACAAGGCAGCCATGAGACAAAAGAATATGAGGGAAAAGGGGAACAATTCAGAAATCAAACTCTTATTCATCTTTATTCTAACTGCTCTTAACCTTATTTTGACCCAAAGACTGCTTAAAAAGTGACAAATGGAATGATATTTTAAATACTTTTGATCTTAGTTTTCTGTGCTAGTGACATTTATCTATATAAATACACTTTCCCCCTTAGCCTGATTCTTTAGTAGCAATTTTTCACAAAGTCCTTCTTTGGGCTTGATTTATATAAAATTCAAAAAGTCAGATGAAGTTTCTGCCTAGGAAAAAGCATTTAAATTATAATTCGTAGTTCCAACGAGTTGGCAGTGAAATTGGGGCCATGATATCGTGCCAGCAGCAACAGAGATGGGGCAAATCTTATGGTACTAACATCAAACCATTTGGCAATAATATCAAAAGTTACAAACATATTTGAAATCAGTAATTACATTTATGAGAATGTATACTGGGAAAACTTTCAAAATAAATTCAAGCTATATGCATGAATGTGTTCACTGCACAGTTATTCGCAGCAGTGAAAATCTGCAAACAACCTACATGCTCAGTTATATCAAGAAAGTGATAGTTCATTTTATGCCATCAGTAATATCACTAATATCATGGTTGCTATGTTGTAATTAAGGGAAAGCTCCTTGATATATTGTCAAACAGAAACAACATTAACAAAAAAATCTAAGTATAGTATTTACAATGTTGTATTAGTACAGTCTTTATACAAACACTTTGTATATACACAGACTGAGAGTGAGCCAGAGAAACAAAAACAGCTGTTCTTTCGAAAACGAATTATCTTTAATATTATTAAAAATAAATACAGGGAGACCTTCTGCTATCTTGGAAAAAAAGAGAGAAGGGAAGGAAAGAAGGAAGGGAGAAAAGAAGGAAGAAAGGGAGGGAGAAAGGAAGGAAGAAGGGAGGCAGGTACTAACACCACTCATCCCAGCACAACTGACATTACACTGGGGAAGTTAAACTAAAGCCCTCCCTACTGTCCACAGTTAGAATAATGTGAAAATAACAGTCACCTTATAAAAAACTGCCTAGGGCTGGACGCGGTGGCTTACTCCTGTAATCCCAGCACTTTGGGAGGCCAAGGTGGGTGGATCACGAGGTCAAGAGATTGAGACCATCCTGGTCAACACGGTGAAACCCTGTCTCTACGAAAAATACAAAAATTAGCCAGGCGTGGTGGTGCACGCCTGTAGTCCCAGCTACTCAGAGGCTGAGGCAGGAGAATCGCTTGAACCCGGGAGGCGGAGTTTGCAGTGAGCTGAGATTGCGTCACTGCACTCCAGTCTGGACAACAGAGTGAGTCTCCGACTCAAAAAAATAAAAAGCTGCCTAGTGGAGCAAAGTGCAAAAAACAAATAATGATACCCTAGCCAGGTGTTAGGCTCCTCTGCAATGGGTTTGGAAGCACAGTTGTGGGCGTGTGAAGGTTGAAGGAAATGGCTCCAGCAGTCAGACTCTGTTCATCTCCCGTGCGCTCCTCCCCAGCTTCGGGAGCAACCCCGATGAAATGGCCACGCCCAGGTTTGTATGCAGCGCTGGGCCCCACGGGCCTGCAGACACTGGGGGCTCACCCTGCAGGCTGCCCCCTGCACTCCACAAACACCCAGACCAAGGGAGGTTTGAGCCCTGAAAGAACAGCAGCATCCACAGCCGCCTTTTATGGTGCCGGGCACCATGCTAGGGGGTGTACAGGTCTGATCTTATTTCATTCTCACTACACGCCTTTCTGGTAGATTCTATTTCATGCCAAGGTTACAAGCTTGAATTGGAGACTTAAAAGATGCTGAGTGATTTGCTGAAGACCCAGATAATACCTGGCTAAGCCTGTGAACCTCAGTCTCCCTGCCCTCAGTATCTAAACTCAACTTCCACTCACGGTGTGGAGACTGTTTTGGTTTTGTCTCTCTCTTTTCTGTTCTACGAAAGAGCAAAATCATGCTTCGTGGATGCTGCCTTCGTGTGATATGATGAAGATGACCAATGAAAATCTATAAACTACTCAAAGCTCCCTTAAATGATAAACTGCAGAGGTGGGTAAGGATAATATACCCTTTAATACTAGATCCCACCAACACTAAACTATCTTGATTGATGAAGTTTTGATTTCCTTTCATTATAGGAATTTTTCTGCAAATTCCTCTAAAATCTATGTAAAGTGCTTAGTATGTTGACTTGAATTGCTATAATAATTTTTAATTTTTATGTATTTATTTAGAGACAGGGTCTGGCTCTGTCACCTAGGCGAGAGTGCAGTGGCGTGATCACAGCTCACTGCAGTCTTGATTTCCCTGACCAAGGCGTGCACCACCATGCCTGGCTAATTTTTGTATTTTTTGTAGAGACGGAGTCTTGCCATGTTTCCCAGGCTGGTCTCGAACTCCTGAGCTCAAGTGATCTGCCTGCCTTGGCCTCTCAAAGTGGCAGGATTATAGGCGTGAGCCACCACATCTGGTCCAGTATAATACTTTTTAAAAGGTATCTTTCAATTCAGAGGACTCCCTAGCGCTTGGGCTTCTCCTAGGTCTCCTGCAAAGCATCATGGCCAAACCATTAGTACACTAAGGAGAAAGTCATACCATGTGCATGTGTGGGGATGTGCATGTGTATGTGTACGTGTGTGGGGATATATGTGTGTGTGTGTGTGTGTGGATATACATGTGTATGTGTGTGGGGGGATATGCATGTGTATGTGCATGTGTGTGGAGATATATGTGTGTGTGTGTGGATATACATGTGTATGTGTGTGGGGGATATACGTGTGTGTGTGTATATACATGTGTATGTGTGTGGGGGGATATGCATGTGTATGTGCATGTGTGTGGAGATATATGTGTGTGTGTGTGGATATACATGTGTATGTGTGTGGGGGATATACGTGTGTGTGTGTATATACATGTGTATGTGTGTGGGGGATATACGTGTGTGTGTGTATATACATGTGTATGTGTGTGGGGATGTGCATGTGTATGTGTGTGTGTGGATGTACATGTGTATGTGTACATGTGTGTGGATGTACATGTGTGTGTGTGTGAGGATGTGTATGTGTATGTGTGTGTGGATATACGTGTGTGTGTGTGTGAGGATGTGTATGTGTGTGTGGATATACGTGTGTGTGTGGGGGGGATGTACGTGTGTATGTGTGGGGGGATGTGCATGTGTATGTGTATATGTGTGTGGGGATATATATGTGTATGTGTGTGTGAGGATGTCTATGTGTATGTGTATATACATGTGTGTGTGGGGGATGTACATGTGTATGTATGTGTGGGGATACACATGTGTGTGTGTGTGGGGATGTCCGTGTGTGTGGGGGATATACGTGTGTGTGGGGGGATATACATGTGTATGTGTGAGGATATACATGTGTATGTGTATGTGTGTGTGTGGATATACATGTGTATGTGTGTGTGGGGAATGTACATGTGTATGTGTACATGTGTGGATATACATGTGTATATGTGTGTGAGGATGTGTATGTGTGTGTGTGAGGATGTGTATATGTGTGTGTGGATATACGTGTGTGCGTGTGTGAGGATATACGTGTGTGTGTGTGGATATACATGTGTGTGTGTGTGGATATACGTGTGTGTGTGGGGGGATATACATGTGTATGTGTGTGTGAGGATGTGCATGTGTATGTGTATGTGTGTGTGGATATGTGTGTGTGCGTGGGGGATATACATGTGTATGTGTGTGTGGGGATACACATGTGTATGTGTATGTGGGGATGTGCCTGTATATGTGTGGGTGTGGGTGCCAACCCAAGAATACATAAACACTATATACTTATTTTCTTGGGATCCAGGAGATTTTGTTACTTCCTGAGCATAAGTTATGCAGCAGAGTTGGTCCCTCATGCTCTTTGGCACAGTATGTTTTGAGCACTTTATATACACTTTCTTAGAGGAATTTTCATCAGTTTCATCGCACAGGCAAAAGACCTTAAGTCTCTTAAGACACACACTTAAGAGAATAAAAGCAAAGACTTTAGCTTTCAAAATACCATAATTCTGCAATAAGCAGCCGGACTGAGAGAATATAACACATGACCTTTGAGTAAACACTCTACAAGAGCACGTACCAAGAAGTGGGAGCAAGAGACTTTTATCCAGGGTTGAATGTGTAAGTAAACCCAGATTAAAAGAAGTAAGTAAGAGCTAAAAATTCAGAATAATCCTCCCGAAAGTTGAGTGCAAGGGATGATAAGCTTCTTCAATAAGGAAAATCACAGACCTTTTCTGTCTCAAGCTGTAGGAAAATGTGTTTTCCACGTTGGCACCTTTAACTCTAGAATTGTCTACAAGTTTCTTTCAAGGTTTTCGGGTTTGTCTCCTTCATATCCCCGGCCACTCGCTGCACATCTACGTCCTTACCATTTGGAAGCTTCGGGTCGAATGGAATTCACACTGCATCATATCAAAGAAGATGGGGATGGTGGCTTTGCGCAGCTCCGTCTCGGGAATTAACGTCATTTCTAATATTGGGCCCACCATTTCTGGGATGAACTTTATCTTGTGTTGACCTTGGAATAAAGAAATACAGTATTCAGAAATAAAGAAAAATAGAATTCTAAAATGGGCTTAAATGGATAAAACAACACAACACAGATCACTGTGACTTTGAGCAGCAGGATCCTGAAAATATGCATCAAATTCTCTCTGCAGATGATGATTTTGAACTTTCCCAGCCATTAGTATAAGAGGTGGCCTGTATTCCACATTTTATAAGTGAAGTTATTCAAAGAGCTGCGCAATATAAGCCTGTAATCATGACTTCTCTGTCAGAGAAGATAAACACTGTTTTACAAGCAGCCGATTCTATCACACGGATTGAGAACACATGCAGCTTGATTCCCAGTTCTGAATAGAGCAGGGGCTGCGAGTGGGGAGTCTCAGCCTCTAACTCTGTGCACAGTGACAGGAACAGGAGCCGACAAATGAGAGAGAGCAGATAGTCTCTTGGGTCCTTTTTATCTCCCACATCTTATGAAGATGAGTTTAGCATTTGACACCTCTGTAAATAATGCAGAGTGATTTCTGCAACATTCCAAATGACTCCAATCAAAGTAAATCAAGGCGCCGGCATCCGAGGCTGAAACCCTAAAAACAGCAGTGATTCGACCTTCTCGAGCTATTGTTTGATAGGAAAATGTTTATTTAAAGAACAACTTTATTGTATCTCATCTCACCTAGCTTGTCCCAGATATGATTTTTAAAGAGCTAAGAAAAATGTTTCTCAAAAGTTTTCAAATGTGAATCATAATACGATCATATTAGCTAGCATTTACAATTTACATGACAAGCTCAGGAGAAAGCATCATCTCACTGAATTTTCACAGTAACCTTGTGAGATGGGCACCTTCTTAACCTGTTAAACAGATGAGGAAAGTGGGCTGTTCCCAAAGCTATTCTGCGAGCTGTTCAGAGAAAGGGAGGAGCAGGATTTGAACCGGGGTCTGAGATTATGAAGGCTTAGCTGTGACTCTCATTTTGCAAATTCCTTCCCTGTTTGCTTGTCTCAGGATCTTTGCATGCCACTCGGACCCTACCCGCCTCTCTGAAAGAGAAACTGTTTGAGCTGTCCACTCCCTTATTCGTCCTCTGTAATTGCAAAATGAACAGAGAGGTCAGTGATCTGTCATTTTCTGTCATTTTATCCACCACTGCTGAGATATTACAATTCTAAAATAAACTCTCAGAAAGTAGAGACTGGCTTCTCACAAGCACTCAATTTATGTTTTTAATTTCAACGGTTTTTGTTGGAAATCTTGGTATTGTACTTTCCTGGGCCTCTATCTCTGACTTAGAAAGATGCTAGCCCAGGATCACCATCGGGAAATCTGGTGACCGGGCCGAGCAGCCAGTGGTTGGGCCTGATATGGCCAGGCCCTTCCTCCTGCTAGCTGTGGGTTGACTGCCACTGTCCCCACCCCAGCTGAGGACCCCATATCCTGTGGGTGCATGGCTGCTGCACCTCTGAGGATCAGGGTGAGCTCCTAAAGAGCTTGAAGTGAACCAGGCAAGTTCAGAGCGATGGCGGCGGGCGGAAACCACAGCAGCTGCCAAGCTTCTTTCACCGCCTGGACCCTGCACCTCCGGAACGAAGCTCCTGGAAGACTCCTTCCTAAACACGGGGCTGTGGACCTTAGTTAAGGCGACGTAACGAAACTCAGAGGCAGGTCCTATCAAAAAGGTGGTCTTTTAAAAGCCGACCCTCTTGTCTTTCAGAAATCTTGATTTTGTTTTCATTTCACCCCACTGCAACTAAACCATTTCATTTCCGAAATATAACAGAAGAATGCCCAAGAAATTAAATGTTTGAATAAAATATTTGCGATATTTTGTTAACGCCAACAATGTATCCCAAATTAATCAATCTTATTAATATTTTTACACAATCAGGAAACTACATTCTTTAGTTTTCTTTGCAATTCAGCGAATATACATTTCTGTAAAGAGAATCATTAAACAAATGTGGCTACTATAACTATACTGAAGAAAATAGGTAATTCTCATAATTAGACTGAATGACTTCTTATTGGATGGACATACACACAAAATGTAATTAACATCTTATTTTTAACTTTTACGACATAATTAATAACTTGACTAAGACTATCACTGTGTGATTCTCATCACTTTCCCAAATGCTTAATGTTTCTGAAAGGCCTGTAACCGCTGCAAAGCATTCTCTTGAAAACGCTATTATATTCCATCTCTCAGGTGACAACTTTCCGTGTATTATGCCTAAAAAATGTCAGAGCCAATGTTTCAGAAAACAGATGATGGTGACAGCAAGTTGTTCATCAACCACAATTTCAGTGTCATAAAGTTCTGTCTGTCACCAACAGGTTTTATTGTTCCAAGCTGGGAAAAACATAGAAAGCAGTAACAAGTGGTTGTAGAAGCAGGGATTGGAAAAAGAAGCGACCAAAACGACAGTAGCTTAACCTCTGATTATTACCCTCCTTATTAGAACAGACACACACTGGCCTGGAGCTGGTACCGAGTTCTGTGCACAGTGACAACCCTGGGGACTGACTCTTCGCAAACCAATGGTCCCCAAGGCGAGCAGGAGTGGGGAGGGAATGTTCTCTGGTAGCCACCGTTTTTTTTTTTTTTTTTTGATATTTGTATTATGGATTTTCCCTGGAGCACATCTTGCTCAAATTTAATGATGAACTCAGGTTTGGAACCAATGAGGACCAAGGTGACTCCTGCAGTGTAGACTTAAAAGAAAAGGAGGGCACGCTTTTGAGACAAAGGAAGGTGATGAGGAGAATATTTTAGCTCCAGTCCTTGCCAGTCTCATAGCCCACCTAGAGTCTGTTCTAGTTACAGAACATGGAGCTGCTTCCCCTGGGAACAACATCTTGTTTTCTCATGAAGCCAGGGCCTCCCCTGTCAGAAGCCTCCTTGTAGGTGTTTAAATTATCTCTTTGCAATCACTGGTGTTAAAAAATCTGGGACATTAAACATA